ATAAGATAGAAGCCACAGCTTCTAACATAAGTACCATGCTTTCCTGGTTCAGCAAACTTAATACTGGATAATGGGTTTTGAAAAATAAAAGTTAGGTGAAGAATTCAATAACTAACATGCTTGCCAATTACGTAAAAGGTAGGCTATAAGAATAATATGTGCTTTTGAACTCCAGATACTGATGAAGTCGTACTAAAATGGACTGGAAGCACATTCTTAAAGCTTTTACAGAGAATGTCAGAGGTTTTCTAGCCACCTCCTTCCGTAGCTAAACCTGGCTTTAGGTCTAACATTAACATTGGTTTAAGGATAAGCAATACCATTCGATTTTTACATGACCTGACTCAAAAGCAGCACCACAGGTCAGTATGAAACGCTTTGGAGAAGGAGATTCCAATCAGCTTTGTGCAGAAACAAAGATCTCTTTCTCCTTCTAAACCTTCCCTGGAAGGCCGCTTTTCTTTGATTCTCATAAACAGTTTTTTATATATGTAACAGAACAACTTGCTGAGATTTTATTTCTGGTTGCTACAGTAATCTCCATCCTGAGGCTAAGCCTCTTGTCAGTATGAAACGCTTTGGAGATGGAGATTCCAATCAGCTTTGTGCAGAAACAAAGATCTCTTTCTCCTTCTAAACCTTCCCTGGAAGGCCGCTTTTCTTTGATTCTCATAAACAGTTTTTTATATATGTAACAGAACAACTTGCTGAGATTTTATTTCTGGTTGCTACAGTAATCTCCATCCTGAGGCTAAGCCTCTAGCAATACAAGTTGATTTCAAACAGATGTTATTCATGCTGTTTCTGTAATCAAACCTCCCCCAAACTAGGAGAAAGTGAAGTAGGTCTTTCTTACCACGTAAAAGCAGCATGGCAAGTGACTACTGTCCACTTGACAGCTACAAAAATATTCTACTGTAGTATACCAAAGACATTCTGCAGCACACCCTCAGAGTCACGCTTACCCAGGCCAAGACACTAAAGGCCTAATGCATCCAGTCAATTCCACTGAAGTCACAGGGAAATGTCAGATGCTACAAAAAAAACCTCTAGGTGTGATAATACTCTTGAAGCCCACACAAGTAGGTTGGATTAAGAATACGCACAAGTTTAAGACATGAAAGCAGTTTGTCAGACCAAAGCCCTAGCTACAAGACACAAGGGAAGCTTCCTGCTCCACAACAAGGCTTTCTGTTCCCACTGGATTGAAAGCAAACCGTTCTGAACACATTACACACGCACACCCTGTCCACATGAAAGCATCTTCAACAGCCAGATAAAGCAGCAACAAATTGATGCATTTGCAATAAAATGCAATTGAACATTAAGAGCTACAGAACTAAGAAATCCTGACAACTTACCAGAAAAATAATTCTTACTTTCTTTAACCATTTAAAGTTTATTATAAAATTTACTAAGCATGTGATGTATTTGAAGGCAGAGCAGTAAATCTAACTAAAGATAAGTTCCAATTTCCTATGTCAGCAAGAGTTGTAGTCACTCATTTCTAATAGGAAATACCTTTAGGTGTTGAAGCAGCATCTTTGGCAGAGAGAGATAGCAGTTTCTCCACAAAAAATCTGAGCTCTTAACAACAATTCTGCAGAAAACAGCTGCTAAATATTTATAACTGACATCCTAGATTAAGCATTTTACTTGTCTAAACTACTAAAGATATAAAAGAGCACTTTTTTTTAATAGTTCTACCAACCCATTTGCTTCCATTAGATGCGTATTACTTACGCAGTAAGTTAAGACGCAACACAGATTTCATGTTCAATTAAAAAAGGTCTAAAAAAATTATCCTACAAATATTTCTTTCTACTTATTATGATGGGCCCTCATCAAGAAAAATCTAATTACACAGACACAGCTATCAGTGGTTTAGATTTTCAGTTACTTCAAAGCACTTTAAATATTCATATAATGGAAATTTCAAAAGATTAATATTAAATTGAACAGTAAAAAAACCCAAAACGATTTATTTATTGAGTGCAGTAAAAGTTCAAACATGAGTGTATTTCTAAGACTCTCTTTAAGTAAATCTTTAAAGATCAAGTGTATTTTTAAGTTAATGGAGATTTGTTTTCTTCTAAAAACACCTGGCCTCAGGAAGAGATTAAATTATGAATGTCCATCCTAAATAAAATATACACATTGTTACACAGGAAGCCTGGGCTCCTAAATCTGAAGGCTAGTACACTTTTCATAGCAATTCTCAAAAGCCTTACTTTGTCTTTAAATTTGCATATCACCCCTCCCATCTAAAACATTCCTGCAGAAATGGAGAAAGGGTAGGTGTCAAGTACAGTTAGGAGAACTTAGTATCACTGTCCTTCCCAAACAGATCTCTCTCCAGCTGCACAGAATGGTCTTATCCTCTTGAAGCATCAAAGCATAATCCTGCTAGTCCTGCCTTGCCTCCAGCAGCAGGTCAGAGTAGGTAGATCAGCAGCTGAAACACTAATTTTTACAGCAGTTCAGCTCATCGAGGTCTTCGCTAAGGAACTGTATGTAACAGTAGCCATAGCTATAATGGGAAGGGAAGACCATGAGAAAATAACAAACACAAAGCAATACCTCCCTGAACACAGTCTCTAGTCCCTCATTAGGGCATTTCCAGAGAAAGTCTTCATATTTAACAACCCTCAGGGGATTTCTTGGCAACTTTCCACTCTGCCTGAAATCCATACGACCTTTTGGCACAGCCATTCCATGGACTTCCAGCTTCACACGACACATTGCTAAGAAACACCTCCTGAACCTGCCAGCTGTGATTCCTCATAGTCAGGCTAGAAGAGAAAGTGAACACCTGATCCTTACACACCCTGATCACATTTCTCACAGCTTATAAATCTTGGAAATATTTCCCACTACTCCCGGTGCCACTTCTCTCACATTGCCCATCCCAAAAGAGCGCGCTTTTTTTTTTTTTGTATCGGGAACTATTCTAATTCTGTAACACTGACTGCCCTTCTCAAAGCTTTTTCGCTGTAGATCTTTTTTTCAGTAATTTACTCGGGTTTTCTGACATGAGCAGTCCACAGGAACAAGATATCGGGGTTAAGATCAGTTCAGGTGCTGCCACTTACAGCACCACAGGGCTGGTCCTTCCTCTCCCTTCCACACACTTCCTTCCCTCCAGTTTAAATCCAAGATGCACAGAGCCAGGTAACATAATTGGCATCAACCATTTCAAATAATGAGAAAGAATAGCAAATGTATATATTTACAAACATTATAAACCAACGTTATTCTAAACTAAATGCTTAACAGCTAATTAAGACAAACCAAGGAGAGTTACACGAGTTTCAAAGATACTAGCACCACACGCATATTTGAAGTGTTTCCGACATCACGCGTTACATGAAGTAAAAAGAAATTGCTATGCGCTAAATCCTTAAGCGATTGCAAACCGTAATCCCCTTCACAGGAGAGGCGCTTGTGTTGATTCGGAGCCGGCTCAAGGCCCCGCAGCCTGCGGAGAGGGGCGAGGGCTGGAGCAAGGCCTACTCGGAGAGGCCCGAGGCCGACCCGGGGCTGCCGGCGCGGCGGGACCGGGGCCCCCGGC